CGACCAAACTGTGCAGCTCTGCAACTGCATCCTGGCCCATCCTCACCCTTCTGCCCCCAACCCTCACCTCCTTGTACCCCCAATATGTTTTTCCCAATAAAAAAAAAATTTGTAAAACTCTATCTTTACAAAAACATTAAACACTGAGGAAGCAGTAAACAGGAAAGCACTCCTCAGAACAGAGCAAGGAAATACTGCTTTGTTAAAAATTAGGAAAGGAAGAGCATTAAGGATGTGTCCTGTGTCCTATCTCCAGACCTTTTCAATAAATATGCACATCAATCGGGTGGGTAAGCTTTACGAGGAGGATTGTAGCATCAGAATTGGAGGAAGACTTACCTAATGATCCAGGAAGCATAAAAAAAAAAAGACTGGAGAGCATTATGCTCAGTGAACTCAGTCTCATAAGGACAAATACTATATATGACCGTTACTGTAGAAATAAAAAATTATTAAAATATGTATGACAACCTAAGAGAAGGGGGAGCAGAGGGGTGAGGATGGGCAGGGTGGGGTGTATTCATAGGGCAACATAATTTGATAGGTGGAGGGAGGATGGGTAAAGGAAATGGGAAAGATCCAATATGAAAACAGTGTATACAAATTTTTTAAGTAAACAGTATAAAATATTTTAAAAAATATGGAAAAAGTAGAGTCATCAAACAACTGTATGGTACAAAAGAATTTCATGAAACAACATATGATCTAAAGCCAATGATGAAGGAGGAAGATCAAGCTGCTCTGAAGAAATCAGCAAAAAACAAACCCCAGGAATTAATGGAATACTAAATGACATATTTCAACAAACAGATGCTGCACTAGACATGCTTACCAGGCTGTGCCAAACAATCTGGAAGATAGGTACCAAGCCAATTGACTGGAAGAGATCCGTATTTATTCCTATTACCAAAATAAGTGATCCAGTAGAGTGTGGAAATTGCTGAGCAATTTCACTAATATCACATGTAAGAAAAATCCTGTTGAAGAATATACAAAAACGACTGGAACAGAGCTCTGGTGGCCTAGTGGCAAGAAACTGCACTGCAATCTCAGAGGTCCACAGTTCAAATCCACCAGATGTTCTGCTGGAAAAGGAGGGTCAATCTCCTCCTGTACCAGTCAGATCCAATTTGACGGTACACACACAAAAATAATAAAGATTTAAAGAAAAAAAAAAGGGGAAAAAATGACTGGAACAGTACACTGACAAGAACTATGGGAAATACAAGCTGGGTTTAGAAGAGGCCATGGTATTAGGGACATCACAGCCAATGTCTGATGGATCTCAGCTGAAAATAGAAAGTACCAGAAAATTGTCTATCTGGGTTTCATTGACTATGTAAGGGCATCTGATTATGTGGATCACAACAAATTGTGGCTAACATTGAGAAGAATGGGAATTCCAGAACACCTGATTTTGCTCAAGCAAAACATACTTGGAACAGGGACACAGTCCTCAGAACAGAGCAAGGAAATACTGCATAGCTAAAAATTAGGAAAGGAGAGCATCAAGGATGTTTAATGTCTCCAGACCTTTTCAATCTATTTGCAGAACAAATCATTCTGGAAGCTGGGCTTTATAAGGAGGATTGTGGCTTCAGAACTGGAGGAAGACTCATCAACAACCTACATTATGCAGATGACACAACCCTGCTTGCCAAAAATGAGAAGGGCCTGAAGCATTTGCTGCAGAAGGTCAAGGACTGCAGTCTTCAATATGGATTGAAGCTGAATATTAAGAAGACAAAGATTCTCACCACTGGGCCAAATGATCAGAAGACAATCTCTCCGTGATAGATGGAGAGGAAAATGAGAATGTTAACAATTTCCATTTACTCAGATCCATAAAGAACACACTTGGTACCAACAGTCAGGAAATCAACAGATAAAGTACACTGGAAAAAATTGCTGCCAAGGACCTTTCTAGTGCTAAAGAAGAATAGTGTGATGTTAGTCTGAAGACCAAGGTGTGCCTGATCCAGGCTACGGTCTTTACAATTACTTGTTAAGCATCAAAGAACTGGACAATGAATAAGAACAACTATTGTGTTTGAGTTGTGGTGCAGGAGAAGAGTCTTGAACACTGCATGGACTGACAAGAGAACAAACAGGTTTGTCATGGAGATGAAGAAGCCCTTGGAGGCAAAGAATGCTGCCAGGAGAGACTAGTCCCTAAAGAAGGACATCCTGCTTGGAAGGGTAGGGGGACAGTCCAAAAAAGGAAGACCCTGGATGAGATGGATTGTCACAATAACTAGAGTAATGGGATTAAGTTAGGTAAGCTGGAGACAGTGGAAATGGCTCAGGATAAGACAGGTTCAGAGGCACTCTACTCTGAGGGTTGCTCTGAGAGTTGCAGGTGACTTGATGACACATAACAATGACAATAATGGGGCTTTAGATGACTTTTCCCACAATAACAAGGTTTACAATCAGCTATGTTACAAAAACAATTTAAGTACCTGCGTAACATTGGTGAATACCAATGTTCATAGCAGCATTATTCCCTTTTCAAGGAGATTGAAAGGGAAATTGTCAAGTTTATTTGGAGAGGAAAGAGACCCAGAATAAGCAAAGCACTTCTGAAAAACAAAAATGAAGTGTGAGGCATAGCACTCCCTAACCTCAAAACCTATTACACAGCGGTAGTAACCGAAACAGTATGGTTTTCCAGAAAAGATTCCTATCTGGTCTGGAAAACGTATTTGAATTTTGTAAAAAAACTAGTATAACAAAAAATTAAAAAGAAGACAAAAAACCAGCATGGTATTGGTACAATGACAGGAATATAGACCAATGCAACATAATTGAGCACACAGAAATGGACTCAGCTATCTATGATCAACTGATATTCGACAAGGAAATAAAACCTATTAAATGGAGAAAATGAAAACCTCTTTAACAAATGGTACTGGCAAAACTAGACTGTGACTTGCAAAAAACCTGAAACAAGATCCACATCTCATACCATACACAAAAAATCAACTCAAGGTGGAGCAGAAAACTGGAAGTAAATCCCAAAACCACAAAGTTCATCAGAAACAAACTGGGATCAGGCCTAGATGGCCTAGTCATTGGTATAAAGAGACTGCCAAATGGAGTCAGAAATGTGCAACCTGGAGAAGAGAAAACTGACAAATGACGCTCTCTAAAGTAAGTCCCTATGCATATCAACAACATTTTCTACTAGAGTGAAAAGAAATTCTATAGATGGTGAAAAAAACACATTTGGCAATACCATTTGAGACAGGGGTCTCATAGCAAGTTTCCATAATACACAAGAAAAAGCCAGATACCATAAGTATAAAATGGGCAAAAAACACAGAAAAAACTTTCACAAAAGATACAAGGATGGTCAACAAACACATGAAGAAAAATGCTCAAAATCACTGGCAATAAGAGAGAGACAAATAAAAAAAAAAAAAGAGAGAGAGACAAATCAAAACCAAAATGAGGTATCATCTCACTCTAATAACAGTGGCAAAGTTTAACGGGGCAACAAGTAATAAATGTTGGAGAGGATGTGGCGAGAAAGGAACTCTTATAAGTTGTTAGTGGGACTATAAAATGGTACAACCACTCTGGAAGGCAATTTGGTGTTTCCTTCAAAAAGCTGAACACAGAAATTCCATATGAGCCAGATATTCCACTACTTAGAATATACTCTGAACCAAGCAAACTGAAGCTATCAACAATCTCAATCTCTTCGTCATCTATCATGATGCTGCCAATCGGTCCAGTGGTGAGAATCTTCAGTTTTTGGTTGTTGTTTTTTTTTTAATTCCTTCATTAATTTTTAATAAAAGTTCACAGAGAGAAAAAATATACTCTGAGAAAATGAGAACTGAGGCACAGATTTCTACACCAATGTTCGTAGCAGCATTATTCACCATCATGAGAACACAGAAACAGCCCAAATGTCCAGCCACAACAGAATGAACTGAGAAATTAAGAGTACATTTACATGATGGAATACTATGCAGCACAGAGGAACAATGATTTTGTAAATCGCTACCTTACATGGGACGGACTGGAGAGCATTATGCTAAGTGAATTAACTCAAACCCATAAGAAAAAATGCTGTATAAGATGATGATTGAGAATGTATATAAGGATTCAACAGGGTTAGGGGAAGCAGAGGGGCGAGAATAAGTGGAGGAGGGGGTTAACTATAGGGTTGCACAATTTGATGGGTGGGTAAAAGAAATGGGAAAAA